AAAGACCCCAAAAGGGTGGTGTAGGGGGTGGGGCTGAGTTAAAGGTGGTGAGGCGGGCTTGGAGAAGGGAAGAAGGAGAGAAGAAAAGTACAAGAAAGAGAAAGAGAGAGAAAGAGAGAGAGTAGAAGAGAGAGAGAGAGAGTGGGAGAGAGAAATAGAGCGAGAGAGAGTGGGAGGGAGGGAGAGAGAAAGAGAGAAAGGGAGAGAGAGAGAGAGAGAGAGAGAGAGAGAGAGAGAGAGAGAGAGAGAGAGAGAGAGAGAGAGAGAGAGAGAGAGAGAGAGATGATCGACTGACTGATTGATACAGACGAAATAAAAGGGGGGGGGGGGGGGAGACTATCTGATAAGGACTCTTTCATTATTTAAGAACTTTCAGTTATGATTCGCAATTTGACTAGCCATGCAACACGGTGCATCATACTAGTATTTTAAGAATGAAGAAGAAGTGACAGAATACGTAAAAAGTTATCCTAACAATAGAAAATTAGGAAACGGACATGAGAGTAAATCTTACGATGAAATCCTATTGAAAAAAAATCAGTTATTTCAAGAAACGGTGAAAAAGCGTTGAATTTGAGACAATGATTGTATAATTCTAAGGGAGTGCCGTTACTAGCTTAATGTGTAATGAATGAAGAGAAGGGTCTTCATTTAAAATAACCTAGGCCTCCACACATGAACAGAGAACAAAAGAGAGTCAAGACCAGCTTTATCCCATTGCTAACGATGTCTTGGGTTATGAATTATTGAGCACAGTTGTGTTTCCTTTGTTTTTCCTCTACACAACGTGCAGCCCTCCCTCAATGGTTTTACTTGTTAAAATAAAATAGTAGTACCCTTGGTCTTTTAAAGTGGGACAAAAACTTAACAGAACTGTAGCAAGTGTAGGGTGGTCCTTAAACTATTATTAAAGCGGTTATTCACTCAGCACTCTCTCATGATGATTGACAATTATATTGAAATGATAAAAATAAACATATATACACATGCATATTATATATATATATATAACAAACGCACACAAACACGAACAAACATACAGATAAGATTAAGACAACATGTGCTTTCCTACACTGGATTGGAAAAGGGTAGTTGGGACAACTAGATTTAAACCGGATCTATTAGAGGGCAGTCGGACGCAATATCCAAAACTCCTCATCCCTCCTCTTATCTGATTATGGTCAATGATAGTACATAACAAGATGGGCCACTTCTCTCTTTGAGCCAATTAAAAAAGTGTCCTCAAAATTTGGTGGCGCCCTCTTCACAAAAGCGCACTCTTTGCGAACAGAGTTACCCTACTTGAGTTTTTAAAAAATCAAAGTGAAACTAGCAAGTTTTGGGATAAATTTCGGAAGAACGCTTTTTAAAAATGGTTACGCTGACAAAAAACCTCTTCCGGAGGAAAAGGAGATGGTTTTCTTCGTTTAATTTGACTTTAGAATGAAGGGCGAGAGGTCATTAAAATTTTAAAAACCTAAAACTCCGCACTGAACGTACCCGAACTGCTGATGAACAGCAGTCGATCTGCGCACGCAAGGAGGTGCTATTCCTATTCTTCTTCTGGAAAAACGAAAGAGAGCTTCAAAACAGACTGCAGCGCCATCTGAAGCAAAGAGCATACTTCCTGAGTGGCCCATCTTGTCTTGTACTATCTTTGTTATGGTTTGGTATCGTATATCATTTGTTAAATAAAGAAGGTATTCGTCATTGTTTAATCAGGCACTGATCTTATTTTTAAAAAGAAAAAAAAACCCATCTAGATAATAGTAATAGTAGTGACTAATGAGAAGAATGAGCTAAAATTTATAAAAATCTGTCCGATAGAGCTCAAGCTTAAGTGTGTATGACTATAGATCTAGTCACATCAAGATGTTTGCTCCGCATTTAATTTGCAGAGTCAGTGGAAAGCAGATTTTGCCATTAAATTGTGAGAACATTCTGACTATTTTAGGTCTAGAACATGACCTTTTTTTACCAACTAACTTGAGCTAATATATTTTGTTTTGGTGTGTGTGTGGGGGGGGGGGGGGGGGGT